TGTCTTGTCGCTCCGGCCTGACAGGCATCATCACAGTATGGTGAGGGGCGTAACATTTCCGTCACACGCTTGAGGTATTCGGCCAATCATAATGCACTGGATAGCTGGCCAATCACAGCACACCTCGCTTTTCAGACCGATGAGCTTTGTAAAAATCGACGCGTTTCAGAAAGGCGGGGCATAGAGGAGAAACAATAATGTACAGTATGTGGAAAATAATGTGTTTTTTGAACCTTAAACGGCATAAACACATTTCATTACACCAAATACACAAAATAATGTTCTTTTTTAGCAACGTCATATGACCCCTTTAAAATGTAATGGTCCTGACTCTGAGCTAACAAGAACCAACAATGCATAGTTGTTTTTTATTAAATAATGTTATCAAGGATTAATAAATACTGTAGCAAATTTCTGTAACACTTTAGTATAGGGACCAGTTCTCACTATTAACTAGTTCTTTATTAGCATGCCTATTATGAACATATTGGCTGTTTATTAGTGCTTATAAAGCACATATTCTGCATGACTATATTCTACATCCCTATACCTACTACCTACTAAATAATAATAAGCAGTAAATTAGAAGTTTACTGAGGCAAAAGTCATAGTTAATGGTTTGTTAATAGCGAGAATTGGACCTTAAAATAAATTGTGACCCAAATTTCTTGCTCGTTGTTAATTAATGGTAGTTAAAGGGTTAGTTCAGTCAAAAATTAAAATTAGGCTGCGTTTCACTCACCCCCGATGCATCCTAGGTGTATATGACTTTCTTCTTTCAGACGAATCCAGTCGGAGTTATATAAAAAATTGTCTTTGATCTTTCAAGCTCTATCTTTAATATAACTCCGACTGGATTCGTCTGAAAGAAGAAAGTCATATACACCTAGGATGACTTGAGGGTGAGTAATTTATGGGCTAATTTTCATTTTTGGGTGAACTAACCCTTTAATGCATTAACTAATGGAATCTTACTGTAAAGTGTTGCCCAGATTTCTTTTTTTGTTTTCCTGAAAAAGAATTTGTACCACTGTACCAAAATTGGTTACAGTTCATAAAAAGTTCAATTTGTCAATGTAACACCCCTGTGGACTGGTTGTTGTGGTTTCTTCCCCTTTTGTTGGTTTAGCCCGTTCAATCATTAGTTAATTATCCTCAGTGTGCTCACCTGTCTGCCCCTCGTTATCTGCCATATAAGTTCCTGTCTCGTGTATTCTAGTATTGTCGGTTATTGTGAATGTTACCCCGAGTGTGTGTGTCTCTCCTACCCGAATCTGCCTTGTTGTCTCTACATTAAATATCCTTATTTGAATCCTTGTCGTCCTCGTCATCCTGCCTGCCTCCACACACCGTGACCGTGACAGTCAATGCATTAAATTTCATGAATTAACAACAAACAATACTTTTTAATCATTCTTAACATTTCAAGCTGTATAAAAACATTATTTTATCTCTGTTCATTCTTAAAATTAGATTAAGAAATGCTGTAAAGAACTATTGTCCTTTTTTTTCATTCATGATACCCAATGCATTAACTAATGTTTACATGTTGAACTTTCTTGTAAAGTTTTACCAAAATATTTTAGTATGATATCCATATTTGTCTTGATATTTTGACCTCATTCATTGTAAACCAAAGTCAAACTCTGTCCGTTTCGGATGCTATTTCTGTCTGGTCAGCATCGTGTGTGACGTTTTATGGAGTCAAACTTGCATCATTGTCCTTGCTCAAGCCTCTATCTCATAAGACTAGAATAAGCCAGCCGACAATTTCCTGCTGGGTTGCAAAAGTGTGTCTGTGTTCTGTCAGGTGACATTGTGAAATTATTAACAGTATTTACACTGTGTTAAACAACATACATTTACATCTAAACAAACCATTGCTGCCTTTCTGGATTCTAGGCAGCTGATGGGAGTAAACATAAGCTGTTTGCAGATGTGCCTTTAAGTACATGTCACACATCAGAGAACTTTTTGTTAATGATAGACTTGGATGAGCTTTGAATTTTATAGGCGGACCCAGCATGAGTAAATTTGAAACATTTCTTTGACAGATCGCTCTGTACATTTGGCTTGAACTGGTTGTGTGGATGTTGTGCATCCATCCACTGAACAGCAAGCTAAAGCTTCCACTGATGGGCCATTAATGTGGGTCAACTTTTAGAATGGATGGGGTATGAAAGAGAAGAGAGATTTCTATTACATGGCTTTTTGGATTGCAGTGTAGTAGTATGCGTGCCTCATTTTCTTGAGAATTAATTCTCAGTCTTTGATATAGCTTTAGTACACTCTCATTTTAATTGCTTCTATTTTGCAAATGAAGATGGACATAGGACCAAGTTCATGGAACATGTCAGCATTTTTAGCACTAGTCTCAGATTGGTAACACACTGGTAACAATGGAACCCATATGTTCCTGCAAGAACTCGAAATACTGTCAACAGTTCTTCCAGGAACATTCCAAGTATCATCAAAGAAACGACTTTGAGGATTTTTGTATATTGAATTAAAGCCAAAATAAAATATTGGATGAAAAACTTGGTCACAAGAACTTGATTACACAACTAAAACTAAACTTGAAATAAAAATCAATTAAACCTAAATAGTAATTTAAATACATTTGTAAAAATGACAAAAGCACAAAAAATTACTGAAAACTGAAAATATATTAAAAAAATTATAGTATATAAATAATACTAAAATAGTGCTGGATCTGTGTGTTCCATTATCAGCTCTAGATGCTGCATTCACACTCTTGAGATGATGTTTCATGTAATACCCACTTCTTCATGTACTGATTTGATTGCATTGGCTCTTGAATAATGATTCACAGAAGGAGGCTTTTTTTAAATAAAGAGGCTTTTATAAATCACTCATTCAGTGGGCCTGATTCTCCTACTCTGCAACAGACATATAATAATTTCCCCTGTGTGTGTGTGGATGGGACACTTGCTGCCCTGACCCTGTTGTGTGTGCTAGTGTGAGATGAGAGAAAATTAATGAGTGAGTAAAGGGATAACAATGTTCCACAAGCATTTACTAAAGCTTAGCCTGCTAGTAGGCTTAACCATTGACCTCAATGCCTTTTCTCCTGTAGGTCTATGCTCATTTTCTCTCATACTACCAGCTGAATTTCATTTTACTTTGTGGTTTTTAAAATGCAATTTAGATTCACCTATATGATTTTACTATTCTTCCTTTACCATAATAAAAAAAATATATCTTTTATCGCAGTTGTTTATCCTAGACAGCAATGAGGCAGAATTGAGAATACATTGAAACTTTTCCCCTACATCTTATGGTTATCATATTGTTTAGTCCCCCAGCATTCTCAGCATGTCAGAGGTCTTAAAGAGTTACCCAAAAATGGAAATTCTGTTTACTCCCCCTCATGTTCCAAGCCTGTATGACTTTTTGATCTTTGAAACACAAATTAAGACATCTTTAATGAAACCTTAGAGATTTTTGTCTCTACTGAAAGTCAATGCAACCATAAAGAGATCATGAAAAAAATCCATAGGAATGCTGTTTAATCCATGTCTTCAGAAAAGATGCAATCACATTTTATGATGAACAGATTTAATTTAGATTATTAACATGTAAACATTGATCAGCGCGCATAATTTGAGCACATCAAATATGATAAATAAAAGGTCAAACATGCATGCTTCATGTCAGTGAAGTATGGTTGAGCTTCCGTTGACCATATTTGATGTGCGCTGTGTATGTGTTAATCAATGTAGTAAATGATGACAGAATTTTCATTTTTGGGTGAACTTTACATTTAATGACATCACAAACTTTGCTCTCAAAATATGCAATCAAAAGATTTTATTATGAAATTGTCATCAGGTTCTTACAAGACCAAATGTGATCATGTAAATAAGGGTCATTTTTTTTGGAATTGAGAAACAATTCAATTCAAAGCTGAATAAATAAGCTTTCCATTGATGTATGGTTTGTTAGGATAGGACAATATTTGGCCGAGATACAACTATTTGAAAATCAGGGTGCAAAAAAAAAATCAAAATATTGAGAAAATCGCCTTTAAATCTGTCCAAATGAAGTTCTTAGCAATGCATATTACTAATCAAAAATTAAATTTTGATATATTTTCAGTAGGAAATCTACAAAATATATTAATTGAACATGGTCTTTACTTAAGGGCCTAATGATTTTTGGCATAAAAGAAAAATCAAAAATTTTGACCCATACAATGTATTTTTGGCTATTGCTACAAATATACCCCAGCGACTTAAGACTGGTTTTGTGGTCCAGGGTCACAAATTATCTGTGCCATGACATCCAAGTTAACTAACAATAAATAATTTCTTCTCCATTTAGTTCTCCTAAGGGATTTTAGAAAAAAGCATCTAAGAAAAAGTTGATACTTAAATGAAACATAAATCTATTTGTCTTTCCTTCTCTGGCAAAACAGATCTGAGTGATCAGCTTCTGGAGGTGGTGGGTTTGGAGGGAGCCATCGAGATGGGTCAGATCTACACAGGCCTTAAGAGCGCTGGGCGGCGTCTTGCACAGTGTTCCAGTGTCACCATCAGGTCAGCAGTTTGTGCCTGTCCACATACACATTGACTAAATGTTCAGTATTGGTCCAACTCATAGGCAAACACTCTGATGACTTGTGTCCATGGCTCTGAAACATCACTCTTCCCCCTCCCCCTCAGCAGGACGTCTTCTCTTGGCCAATGCAGCTAGTAAATCAGACCTTTGACCTGCTGTCACTCACTTTGCCAACAGCTCTAACATTTTGGACTCGCTCGTACTGTTGAATAATGATGTTTGTAGCATGTCTAAACACACACTGCTCAGTCCTGACGTATGCTAATGAACCAGTTGAGACCCATCACTTCTGAGGTGCTAGTTCACAAGTTTATGTTGCCCCGGCCTGCTTCGCTCCATTAAACACTCATATTGACCCTAACAGTTAGTTCTGAATTGAAGCAAGGTGATTATTCACAATTTTTGCTGCCGTTTCCTCACCTGTACACAGGGTCGTTCTGCCCACGACCTAACACTTTCCGTAATAGGCATTAATAGCGCATTCATCATTGTCATTCTCCCATGCTGTGTTGCTTTAACTTGTAGTGGCCCTGCTGAAAAGACTAAACTAACTTTTTGTAACTGTGTGTGTGTGGGAATAGAGGTGCTGAACTGTGTGAGTGTGTTAGTTTAGAGAGTAAGGGGACCGACTGGGAACGGGGCTGTGGGAACAAAGAGCACAGTGTTCAGAGCCGTCTAGGAAAAGTGTTGTATAGGAGCCTCGTGCCCGCGATCTGCCTGGTCAGTGACCTGACCCGTAACAGCTCTGTCTTTTTTTTCCCTCTGTCCTTGTCTCTCCGTCCACAGGACGTCCCGTCTGCTGCCCATGCAGATTGATGGAGAACCGTGGATGCAGCCTCCATGCACGGTCAGCTCATTTGATTTGGCTTTCGTTTACAATTTTTTATGTAAATGTCTGAAACACAGACTCTTTCATGACCCATACCAGCCAATCCACCACTGTAATTAAACAAGACAAGACATTTCACTAATGTGACTGCACCTTAAAGGGATAGTTCACCCAAAAGTGAAAATTATCCCGTGACTTACTCACCCTCAAGCCATCCTAGGTGTATATGACTTTCTTCTTTCAGACGAGTACAATCGGAGTTATATTAACAAGCTTTATAATGACAGTGAATGGGGGTCGGGAATTTGAAGTCCAATAAAGTGCATCCATCCATCCATCATAAAAAGTGTTCCACACGGCTCTGGAGGGTTAATAAAGGCCTTCTGAAGCGAATCAATGCATTTGGGTAAGAATAATATTCATACTTAAAACTTTATAAACCGTAATCTCTAGCTTCTGCTAACTGTCATACATGCATTCACGAGAGAGTGCCGTTCCAGCGGATGATGTATAGTTTAAGCTCTGGTGAGAAGTGACGAACGCGGAAGTGCAGAGAGAGCAAAAAAAAAAAAAAAAAACACACCGGCCAAGAATTAAAGAACAAAATAAGGATAAATAAAATGTCGGAGGATTTCAATGAGGAGACTGGTTTTCCTTTGCTGTAAAAAAAAAACTTGGTTCTTGAGATATTGTGAACACGTGTACGACAGTTAGCGAAAGCTAGAGATTATGTTTATGAAGTTTTAAATATGGATATTTTTCTTACCCAAATGCATCAATTCACTTCAGAAGGCCTTTATTAATCCCCTTTAGCCATATGGAGTATGATGGATGGATTCACGTTATTGGACTTCAAAATCTCAACACCCATTCACTGCCATTATAAAGCTTGGAAGAACCAGGACATTTTTATAATATAACTCAGATGGTACTTGTCGGAAAGAAAAAAGTCATATAAACATAGGATGGGATGAGGGTGAGTAAATCATGGGGTGATTTTCATTTTTGGTTGAACTATCCCTTTAAGGCTGATTTTACCTTCAACTCAATTGCTTGGTCCAAACCTGAGTTCGATTCCACGCCAAAGATCTCATTTAACATTGTACATTTGAGTATGACCCATGATACAATTGGGTCACAATACATCATTAATTGCACAAGTCTCACCTCACAGTCCAGATCAGATTTCCAAGTGGAGTTTTCTGCCAAACAACCCAAAATACGATGTCAAATGGCCTCATGGCATTGAGTCCACTAACATATAAGAGTTCAAATCAGCTTTTTCGTATTTTTCTATTTACATTTACTTTTATGCTTTGGCAGATGCTTTCACACTGCATTCAAGATGTAAGTTTTTTATATGCAAGTACTTGTTGGTTCTGTGAAGTTGCAATAGAATAACTGCATTACCACATCCAAGTGGCAAAAGATTATAAATAAAAAACATATTTTAGAAAGAGACCAGTCTCTGTCTGCTCTTAAAGTTCACAAGAGTATGTGATGTAATGTGAAGTCAGATACACCCAATGCTCAATGATAGGTTTCAGTTCAGAGCAGGACCTTTTTCTCCATCTCAGAAAATTGCCTCCTCCGGTCTGTTGCAGCTTTGTACACTCACCCATCCCAGCGAGCAGACTGTTAATTAAAACACTGTCATGTCACACCCTGCCATTGACTGATTATGTCATTAAGAGAGTGGAATAAACATGCAGCTTTCCATCTGCACATAGCGCCAACACAATGTCCTCCGCTATACAGTGGGTACGGAAAGTATTCAGACCCCCTTAAATTTTTCACTCTTTGTTATATAAAAAAAATTAACTTAAATGATTTTAGCAAATGGTTGCAATATAACAAAGAGTGAAAAATTTAAGGGGGTCTGAATACTTTCCGTACCCACTGTATATACATCTCTATCAGCGCAAGCTCTAAAAAAAAGTGTGCCGCTGTGCTTTTAGTCCTCTCTAATTTGCCCAACTGTGCAGAGGGGAATATGGGATGTTATTTCAGTTTCAAGGTCAGCTCTTACGTTCTCAAATTTGTGCCTGTTAATCTGGACATGTGTGACTTCTGTCATCTCATTTGCTGAATGTGAACGAGACAACTGCTTAAAACAGTGAGTAATTAACAAGCAGAAGGATGTTCAGATTTGGTTGTCTTCAGAGAGTAATCTTATCTTCTTTCCTGCAGATACGGATCACGCATAAGAACCAGGTGCCCATGCTGCTGGGACCGCCACAGAAAACATTCTTCTTCTTCAAGAAGCGCAACAGAAGTCGGGACTAGATGTGGGACTCCAAATATCAACCACTTTTCTACAATCATACACTCAAGCATCTCCACCTTCCTCAGCTAATTCTTCATCTTTGGGAGGTGGGACCCAAAGAGAAGAGACCTTTCAAACACAACACTCAATACAATCAATACAAACACAACACTGTAATGGATCTATAATGGACCCCATCTCCCAACACAGCCTGATATTCACAGGCTGAACCGGTTGAACAGACCCTCTCTGAGTGTCATGACCACTTCCTGTGTCTTATCATCCAGAACGTCTTATCACAGGCTTGTGACCTGTAAGCTATGACTCAATTCCAACCAAATCCCCCCCTACCAGTAGGCCACTGCCTTGGGATCACACTGTGTGCCCTCTCCCTCCTCTTGAGACGGCTCATCAGAAGATACTGCCAATTTCAAAGAGAGGAAGAGAGGACCAGAAAAGCAAGAGACTCGCCCAGCAAAAGGAAAAGAAGTGTGTTCAAGTGAAAAGAGAAGGAGAGCGAGAGACAACCTAGCACGATAATGTTCTTCACATGAGAGTTGGTGGTGCACATATGGACGTCACTGGGCCCTGGCTTAGCCTAGCAGGACCAGGGAACAAACTTTCCTCCTAAAGGAGCTTACTGAATTATACATCAGTGCATGCAAAGCACTCATTCCAGTGCCTCTCCAAGGCCCTGCGACATGCCACCACTAAAGAGATGAAACAGCATACTCATCCATTATGAATATGTTTATGGGGGTCTGCTGATAGGGATAAGTTAGACTGGCCTGAAAGAGATGAAACATTTCAGCTTCTGGTGTTTGCTCCAGGCAGTTTTGGTGTTCACCCTCAGGCCGCAAAACTGACCAGTGCAAGTTTTGTTATAGTTAGCTGGATGTTTATTTAATCCCGTACTGCCCTCTAAAACAACAGTGCTAGCGTTCAGCATGGAGAATGGACCTAAGGTCTCAAAAATGCAGTATAAGTTTAGAAAACCCTTAGAAGAGAGAATTAGTGTACTAAAGCAGTTTTACCAATGAGCATTTATATCGTAGCAATTTCTGCAATAATATGATGATTTTATCATATTTTTTAAGCCAAATCAAAATAGCGTGCCATTAAGTTTGGGAGTAGATTCTGTCGATAAAAAAACATCTTACGCATCTGTTGGCTAGATTCAGAGGGGTCTGAGAATTATTCAACTGGGAGACTTGCAGGTAACCCAGCTAGACTAGCTGAAGACCATCTTAAGACCATCTTAATAGCCTTTTCATACCAACACAAATGTACGGCACAGAAATTCGTTCCAGTTTTCACATGTGATTTGTCTGTTCAGACCAATGCGAAAAATGGAAGAATGACTGAATGAAAAATGCAACTTCACTCTATGACAGTAGGTGGCGCTTAAATTAGTTTTATTTAACAGCAGCGACTCAGGGCATGTGATCAAAAAAGTGAGAATCATATCGGTTGGCTGGTTTTCTTGATAATGCAATCTATTCAAAAACAGATTAGAACATCTTTCTGAAAAACAGAATTTTCGCACTAAACATTCGTCTTGGTGTGAACAGGTCTTACACCAGCTAAGACCATCAAACCAGTTTAGGCCAGTTTTAAGCGTTTTTTTTTACAAAAGGAACATTAAGGACATAATGGTAACACTTTAAGACAAGGATTAATTTGTTAACATTTGTTAATGTATTAGATGTCAACAACTAGAAAGTATATTTACAGCATTTAATAATCTCGCTTAACTTTAATTCATAAATTGAATTGCTTGGTTCAAGTTCAATTCCACCACATAAATTTATACTATTGTTCATTGTTAATTCATGTATATTCATATTATGTTAAATAATGTAATACAACCTGAAAAATCCATGAATATATGAAGACATTAACATTGACCAGGATAAATCCTGTAAAAATATTCTTAATTGTTAGCTCATGATGCATTAACTAATGTAAACAAATTAAATATTGTTATATTTTGTTACAGAAACAATTTAAGAAAAAAATTGCTCCATATTTCTGAGAAAACAGAAAGTCTCTTCACTGTAGCATCTCCATTCAGAGGCGGGCTGAAATCGATCCAGCGCTGGTATTAACACTGAATCCTCTGGTCCTCGTCTGTCACAACAAGCTACTGCAGTGGGGTTTGATTTACTGCTGCATGGACGGAGCCTAAATTTAACTTCCTATTTCAGGGAGTGAAACACTATTCCTAATTGCAGCATGAAAACATCGGCTCGCAATTTCAGGTCGACAGTCAAGCGGGTGTGAAAGCGGCCCAGATGAATGCAGAGGACGGAAGTTACGGTTAACGGTCAACAACTGTGACCTTCTGAGAAGGCCCGAAAAGAGTATTTAACTTAAAGATGCCCACTATGTATCAGTATTCATATAATCCAGGAGCCTTGTGTGCATATATATGAATGTGTTTAAAGGTATAACTTAATATAGTATCAGAGATTAGCACATGATTGACTGTAGCCATCAGGCAGAGTTGCCTGATATAGATCAACATGCAGTGATCATCAGATGCTTTCACAGTGTGCCGTAGGGCGCAAAGGTCTGTGTTGGAACTGTATATATATATATTTCACCAATACAGAACTGGGGTCAGATTAACTTAAAGTTCAGGTGTCGACTTTAGGGTTAGCAGGTTAACGTTCCCTTTAAAGAACACTGAACCGCAGAAGCTACGCCAGTGTCCTAAAAAATGCTAATCTCTCCATATGACCACAGAACAGACATTCACCTCCAGCCAGTGAGTCGGTTTATCATAGAAGTTAATGGTGGATTTGGCTAAAAGAGCCCCATTGTTCCTGTGGTCATTGGACAGATGGTTTATCCTGCGTGACAGTCTGGTGTTTAAAGAACGGCGGTTTGGTTACAAGTGCATGTTTACAGCTACTTTTCATTTTACAGTTTAGAATGATTTTAAACAGTCATGTATATATAGATATTGTTTATATTTTCTCTAAAGTTTAACCACCGCATGCCTGCTGAAACAAAGAAGACAAAGACGTCTGCTTGAAGAGAGACCACTCTGATTGTTGCTTCTTTATTAGTTTCACATGATTATATTTTTGGACCCTATCCAGGCCCCTTGTATCTACCCGCTGTGCTTTTCCTCAATCCGTTAGTAGCATGTTCATTGTACAAGTACCTCTGTGGATGTTCTCTGTTCTGTTTTGTATTTTGTAAACTGAGGTTTGGCGCCAATGTATGCCAATCGATGGGCGACTGAGGAATGTCACGTTTGGGAAATGTAATTTCTAAATTGTACCGATGTCACCTTCTGTGTCAATTCTGTGAATGACTGATAGCCTTAACTTACTAATACAAAATAGCATTTTGCCTGGAGCAAAGACTTTTGCAATACAAGTCACTGAAAAAAAAATCAACCAAATGAAGGAACAAAATAGGAGGTGGGGGGGGGGGACGAGAGGTCAACATCTGTTTTGCTGTGTTGCAATAACTCATTTTTGTTAGTGTCATCATCCAGGCCTACTCGCTCTCAGAGAAGAGTGGTGATAGAGCGATGTCCTTCACATCACAAATGAGCTCCATGATGTCTCTGACACCACATATGTCTTCATTTGTGGACTGGACGGCTTTTATCTATTATTTGTTGCTGTCCTAAAACTGTGATTGCTCAATCTGCCCATCACTGTCTCTTTTCTCATAACAATAACACGATTTTATCTGTCAAACCGTGCTGCCTCTTGCAGGGTTGGGCTCTCTTCAGAATTTAATTCAAATTCTAAATCTGAATTTGGGGTTTGAATTAAAAATTTATTGTAATTCAAATTAGTTCACGTGTCACAAAAAAAACTGTACAGCTTGTCAAAGCCTTTTTTTGGAAGTTTTGCCAAGAAGTCTTGAAGATAGAGGGTTTGTTGGCCTCGCAGACAGAGAACGATGGATGGATGAAAGAACATTATTTTTCCAGGATGCATTCACTGTTGAATTTTTTTTTATTACAATTTAATACATTCCTCTTCCTGTCATTCCAATTCAAATTCATGTAGGGTGTGGGAAATTCTATTCAAATTCAAACTCATGAGTGGAAAGGAATACGATTTTGTTCATTTCTGAATTTTGCCCAACCGTGGCATCTTGAGACCAAACCAGGAAAGATTTTTAAGGACAGTGAGCCAGAATCCTGAACTTAAATATGAAGAGACAATACGGCTTATCTCAGTGTAGCTCTATTCTTAGCTGGGACAGATGAGAGGTATTGAGCGCCACTGATGCAGTAGAGCCCATGTCAACCCTGAATGTGATGTTCTACATGTGTGCTTAACTCACTGTCTTATTCCTGCCTTTAGGGTTAGTGTGGTTTTTAGCAGTCCATCTGTGTGGTAGGCAACAAGGTTCAAGGTTCAAGGACAGGAGTCCTGCAGACTGAGATGGGGTTAAAGGGTGAATCGTGCCCTCGAAAGACCCACTTAGACTCTGTTACTCTGGTTCTTGTAAGCTGTTGGCATCCATGTTAATGGACAAAAGAGTTTTATTGAATAAACAGAGACACTGAAGCTTTGCGTCTGGTGTGGGTCATTGGGTGGCTCGGCCGGGATGCTTACTCGCATCAGGCAAAGGCACCCGACACAATCCTCTACTTAACGTGATTGAATTTCAGTTCACACAATAAATCACAGATTTCGGTGCTCCTGTGCTGATGATATGAGGCACTCTGGGAAAATACTGTGAGCTTTTAGCACGGTACTTAAGATCCACACAGTTCAGTCCTTATGTCAGCGCACTTTAAGACTTGCTTCCATCTCTCAGACAACACCTTCTGTCATGATTGCACCTGTATAGACTTGCACACTTGAGTTTCAATCATACCATGATGCAACTGCAAGACATTGGCAGATTTTCTAATTCAATCTTTCCAAAGTAATGGGTGCGTTATTCTCCCATTATACTGTACATTATGCTGACCCTGCACACTGAAGTGAGAATCTGTAATGAGTACTGGCTAGATTTTGTGACCTCCTCTAGACTCTCAGAAAATTTTACCTTTAGGGGTAAAATTGGGGGAGTATGCTCAAAGGGTACAAATATGCACCCTAGGTTTTTATTTTTGGTATAAAGGTGCGCTTTTGGAAGGTATTTCCCCAGTTACAAGCTGTTATTACATTTACATTTAGTCATTTAGAAGACGCTTTTATCCAAAGCGACTTACAAATGAGGACAATGGAAGCAATCAAAATCAACAAAAGAGCAATGATACGCAAGTGCTATAACAAGCCTCGGTTAGCTTAACGTAGTACACGTAGCAAGGGTTTTTTAATTATATAATAAATAAAAATAAATCAGAATAGAAAAAGAATAGAGCAAGGTAGTGTCAGAGGCCTTTTTTGCTTTTGTTAATTGTATAATAAATAAAAAAGAAAATAGATAGAATAAAAAAAGAATAGAGAAGCTAGTGTTAGTTATTTTTTTTTTGTTAGTTTTTTTTTAAGAAGAAAAATAATAAATAAATATTGTGGTGTAACCAAACATTACATCCTGTAGAATTCATGAAATACATTTTAAAAAAAATGATCCAGGTTCACTACAAGTTAAGCTCAACATTTTGCAATGCTCTTAAAGGGGTCATATGATGTTGCTAAAAAGAACATTATTTTGTGTATTTGGTGTAATGAAATGTGTTTATGCGGTTTAAGGTTAAAAAAACACATTATTTTCCACATACTGTACATTATTGTTTCTCCTCTATGCCCCGCCTTTCTAAATGACAAACTACAAACGCTACTCTACTCTGCTCAAAACTCGCGTTTGAATCGTCAGTGGCAAATAGTTTAAATATAAAAAACGTACTTACAGTCTGTGAGTCAGAACAGCCGGCACTGGAGTCTACTCTCCCAGGATCAGGAAACAGTCCTCCATAAAATGCGCTGGACACATCTGAATATTTGGGTTGAAGTGTTCTGGAACAGTGTTGTAAATACAACTTAACCACTGATTTTTATTCGTGTCCTCTTTTGGAAGGCCAACAAAGTAATTCGCTTTCACAACGAAACACACTGCGGGCTTGAGTGAGCGGAGGCCGGCTTGAGTGAGCGGAGGCGGGCGGGCTTGAGAATGGCGCGGCCGGCGGATTCGACG